GCACAACCAAAGCAGAAAATCCTCATTCTCACGTTTTGCTGCTCCCAGCTTTAGTTCCTTTGTGAGGCAGCACCACGGATCTGGGGAGGGGTGCCTGGAGCCAGGACAGGTGTGAGAAGGCACCTCCTCTCACTCGTTTAACTGCCTCTAGACACCAAGTCAGGCTACAGGAGGAGGAGATGAGAAAATTACACATTTTCAAAAGCTCAACAGTTTCACCGAAAAAAACCAACCTCAGAATCCAGTTTTTATTATTCCACTGCTCTGTTCTGCATCTCACAGGAAATAACAAGTGACTGTACAAAATGTTTCAGATCCAGAGAGGTAATTCAGAAATCCTGTCTTGTCTCAAAATTTCCAAATCTTAAAAGCCATTCTTGAGGAAACAACGTATTCCAAGCGGAGCTGGAACATGCCTACGATCGGTCTGAGGGGCCTCGTGGCAAGCCAGGACAGGAAACAAAATTAATGCATATTGTGCTGGTTCAATTTCACCTGGAAATTTAAAATAAAAAACAAGTGCCACAGCCCCCCTCCCCAAAAGTCACTTTAGGATTCCTGTGAAAGGAAAAATGAAGAGCCTAATGATCCCAAGTTGAGAGTTTTAGAAGCAGTAAAACATCTGGGGCCACCAACTGCTCTTCCAGCAGTCTGAAATAACAATTTGTAAAAGTATTGTTTGTCTACAAAACTATTTCACACATCTCCTTCAAAAAAATCACCATTCTGGTTCAAAAAAGGATAAATTTGAATGTGTTGTCTCCCACACAAGAAAACATGATTTTTCTACAAGAATAGTCATACATGGGCTGATCCAAGAGCTCGGGACAACTGAAATGTACCTTTACCATAACTATTGCTATGCTGGAAGGACACAGTGGCCTTTTCATTCCAAGGACCGTTCCCACCGTGACTCATTACAGTCAGAAGATTTTAATCAGAATTCTGTTTCAATAATTGGGCCCAAAAGCGCTACCTGGAGCCCGACCACATTAACGTGTCAATTAACGGCCTCACGCAATCATCGGGATCCATGAGCTCATCAGGGGGCCCTGCCAGCCCCATCTCCAGCCTGGCTCAGCCCCACCAAGGGGGGACCAGCAGCCAGGGCAGCCAAAGGGTTAAAATCCCATGTCAAACAGCAAGTCCTGGCTCTGGACCAGAAGGGACATGGGAACCAGGGCAGCTGAGTTATAAAGGCCTCATTGTAGCAGCCCACTGGATTGGAAATGACTTGTAGGCCTAATGAAACAAAACTTTGGCAGTAAAACAGAATGAAAGGAATGAGACAATAAAAGAGAGGAACAAAGGGAGCAGAGTTGTTTCAGCTTAGGAAAATAAGCTCACTTTGTTGTTGGGAAAAGCCAAAGCCGATTAGGATAAACCAATGACTAGGCATAAGTCTTCCAAACTAATTACACAGTTCGCCATGTGAAGTATAATTGCAAGCAGCGAACGAAGGACTGTGCTGCTTTCACAGGAGCTCTGGGAAGGGAGCAGCACCTGGGAAAATGAACCCTCCAAATCCTCACCACCAGTGCCTGCAGCTTGGAAGGCACAGGACGTGCAGGTCCTGAGAAGTGCAGCTCGTTAGCGCTCAGGGCTTTCTCCTGCTGGTCACAGTCCCCCAGGTAAGGCTTGAGGAGCCTGTTGAGTTTTCTTTCTTTAAACGATACCTGAAGCCTTAAATGCTCCAGCATGTCCCAAACTCAGAGCTCCACACTGCTTCCACTTCCAGAAAGCCATAAACCAGGCAGCCCCAGCCCTGCTGATGGCTCAGGGCAGCACTGTGGCCTCTCAGGGCAGGAATGTGAGCCCTGCCTGAGTTTCCCCTTGGATTTCCTCACCTCCAACACTTCTCATTTAAGTTCTTTTAAAGCCTGGTCTCAGCAGTTTTTCCCACCCAGCACAAGGGTGATGCTATAGAGTCGAGACAGGTCAACATGGCCAGTGAATTTATTTTGCTTGTAAGAAGGATCCCACAAACAACTGCATTAGACTGTCAGGACCAGGGATTAACACAATGGGTTTTTTTTTCTTCTGTTTGTAAACATAATGGCTTAGCCTCCTTGTGTGCTCTGTGGATCCTGCTCCCTGAAACCACTGGAAGGACAAGTCTTCCCTTCCACAGCACCCTGAGCCCCCTCTTGGCACACAGACCCCACCAAGCCTGTCTGGGGAGCACCCCAACAACTGCAGGTGCACAGGTTCAGCCTCAGCAGCTCTAAGCAATCACAAAGCTGTTCATACACTGCTCTGTGCTCACTCTCTGAAGCCTTTGGGCTTCACTCAGGTTATTTTTCCCTGTTTTCCTCCACAGAATACAGCAGATAGGAACACCAACCTTCCCAAAAGGAATGCTGGGATTCCTACAGATCCTGGGCTTTACAGGAAGAAAAATAATCCCTATGAGAAATCTCACTGTCCAAGTCTCAGGACTGTTGTTACCACGCACTCGGGTGCTGTAACGTCCGGCACTTTCATGCAAGTCAGGAAGAGTGTTTACTAAAGCTTTTCTTTTTCTTGGAGACAAAGGCTCTGGCACTGACTTTTCAGAAAGCTGCAGTCTCAAATTCAACCCTTTCTCCCTTTCCTGCCAACTGCAGTTACGTGAGCGAGCCCGCCTGGCCCCAGAGCTGGGGGCTGCTCTGCTCACATCGTGTGTTTGGAGAGCTACCCCCAGTTACCAAAACAGCCTCCCCTGGCTGCAGAGCTCCTCTCCACAGCAAGTACAAACAGGATTTCAGCAGTCACAGCGGTCGGTAAGCAATTTTTTCCACGACAAATAAGCTCAGCATTTCAAAGAGCGAGTCACCTGAGATGCTCTTATCAAACACGGGCGGCTCCTGGCACGTTAATTGTGTCATGCAATTTGCCTGATTTCAAGGAAGCTCTAAGGCAGAGCTCACCTATCGATGGGGATCCCTGTTTGCACAGGAATGGCCTGACTGGAGCTCTGAGCAGGGCACAGGCCCTGCCCAAAGGGCTGCAGATCTGAGCAAGGGGTCACGGAGCGGGATGGAGAAGGACAGGGCTCCTGGAAGGTCCCACAGGGCCAGTGCTGGGTCACTGTATCTGAATGCAGCATCCCACCATCCACAGCGTACCAACGAGTCTTCTAATTGAGTTGGAGCACGAGTTCCCATTTCCAAGGGTCATTAACCAGCTCTGCATCTCCTGACAACCTGAGCCTCGGGGAGAATCACCTCAAAACACCCCGAAACCAAACTGTCCCAGCTGATAAACAGCACACGCCGTGGGGAGAACCTGAACACCCACACCAAGGCCAGGTGACAGTGACAGCCCAGCACCTCTGCTCCAAACACCACTGGCTTCACCAAACTCCTCACGGGCTGGAACAGGGAAGGGTGAAACGGGGATGTTCTGGAACACGGCACCTGGAATAACAGGGACCAAGCCTTGCAGGAGTTGAGCTCTACTGCCCGGACCACACAGCCTCAGCAGGACATCCCAGCTGTGCTGCCACAGGAATGGGTTCCTGCCTTAATCCCAACTCATGCAATTTTAGCTCCTTAATTTTTTAGCCTGCAAATTAAGATACCTGGAAAAAAAAAATTGATTTTCCCAAAGTATTGCCTTTGGAGAGGCAAACCTCTGCTAAGCTGTCTCAAGAAAGGCAGAGCACGAAAGCAAAACCAAAGCGTCCCGAATCCCCAGTCACTCCTGAGACACAGCCTGGCTGTCTGCATTCTCAGGGACTGTAAAATTGCAAGCATGAAACTACCAGATGGTGAAATTAAAAAGACTATATTAAGACAACATCCAGACAATATGCAAAGCACTTATATTGAAACTATTATTAACTTCAAAAATACAGGTTAGTGGAGTTCTGCAATTAGAAGTAACTACAGAAGAAACATCCAAAAGCTCATGTAATCCTTTAATAAAAGGCTCAGCAGGCTGTAAACATCCTGCCGGAATCGAAGATTATTATTGAAAATAAAATGACTGGTTTGCAAAACAACTATCAATCCAGCACAGAACCATTTATAAACTCGCCTCCTCAGCCCTCGACAAAATCCTGCCTGGCTCAGGCTTTTCAGGGCAGATAAAAGAAACATAAACTAACTACAAGGACTGGGGGTTGCTTTGCTCCGGGATACCCCGCTGTGTCCTCACGCAATCTCGCATCTAAAACATCCATGGCTGCACTCCAGAACACAGGAACTGAGCTGCTGAGCTGGAATCCACGGACCTGGAGTCCACGGAGCCCCACAGAAGTCCCCATGGAAGGTGGGACCACAAACTGCTCTCAGAGCAGGCAGTTCTGCAAGCTCTTCACCCATCAGACTCCTGAACAAGCGTCCCAAAGCCTTGGAGATGCAGCAAGCTCCATGCAAGTCAGCGGCACTGAGCTCCAGCCACAGCCTGGACTGTGGGCTTTGAGTCGTACACCACAGCAAGGACTGTTCTGGCAAGGCTCAGGTCTCCTTCTGTGCATAAACTTGCTTGGGTTTTTGGTTGGTTTGGGTTTTTTTAATGATGTCAGGATTCTACATGTATTTGCACAGGATCTCGCATAAGGATTTTCTACTAAGAAATTAAGTGGATATTCCAGTGATTTCCACATTACTCTTTGCTTTTCACGTGGTTCCTTCAGGCATTTTCACAACTTAATGAGCTCCCCAATCCATCTATCTGCCCCTTCTGCCACTGCAATCAAGGTAAACAGAAGGCTGATTTTATGGAGAAGACAACTGTATAATCATTCAGCTAAGGGTCAAATTCTTCCTGAACAGACACAGATTCACCTCTCAACGATGCTTTTTTACTTTCCTGGAAGTGAGTAGCGCTGGCAATGCTGTGCACAAACACACATAATGAACAGAAGAGGAATTCCAGAGGCTTCGAGAAACGACACGGGAAGGCAAAAACTGTGGCCCTCCTCTGAGCCCAGCCTTCACTGCACTTTTTTAAAACACACTTTAAAAAAGAAAGGAAAGAAAGAGCTGTGTAGTGCTCACTTGGGCAGAACTTACCTTGCCAAACTGTTCGAAGTATTGCTTCACGTCTTCCACTACTGTATTAGCCGATAATCCACCTACAAATATTTTCTTTGTTCTTGTGACCATCTGTAAGAAATTATAAGACAAGCACATGGTTTAACCAGATTATTTCAAACAATATGTGGAAAAAAGAAATATTCTTCAGATCCCATCCCTAACCCAGATAATGAGAATATTTCTTTACAAAAGCAATTTCGATTCGATTTGATTAGATACTTCTTTCTCTTTGTCTTGTTTTGTTTTTATTTGAGATGGCTGAGTAAAGGCTCTCAATAACAACTCTAGCCCCCGGATATTTTTTTTTAATAAATGATTTTTATTGTGTTTCTCAATGCAAATATAAGTGAAAAAGGAGTCCACAAGTGTCATATCTTCATAGCTACTGTCTCAAAAGCACAGTGCCTTTCCCCCTCCTCCTCCTCCAGACAGGGTGAATTCTCTTTGGCAGACAAAAGGCAATTACATCAAATCGAAGGGATGTGTTATTAAGTTTCCATGGGTCAGTTTAAAAGGAACTTGCACAGTTACTTTAAAAATAATCAAATGATGAAAGACAGCCAGAGCTGCCACAACCCACACTTCAGCTCACAGTGTCACCACCCATCAGGGCTGGATCAGCTCCTGCAGAAACCCCTGTGTTCCCCAGACCCCAGCTGAGCACCCAGCTCCTCTGCTGACCCGTGTGCACCCCAGTTTGGTCCACACAAGACAAAGGGATGGTGCTGGGTTTACACACCATCCCACAATCCAGCATCCATAACCTGCAGCCCTCGAAGATGGGCAGGATCAGCCCATGGACACAAACCCCAACGATGGCAGGGGAAGTTGGTGTCCTTGGTGGGCTGATCCCAAACCCCCTGATCCCTGTGGGCCACCCCAAGTCACGGCAGATCCAGGACAATGCTGTCAGCGTGCTCCAAAGGGCCCCCATCGTCCTGGCAGAGCTGGGCAGAGGGGAAACACCCCAGCTTGGATCAGACCACGGCCTCAAAGCTGGAGACAGCCCAGCAGCAGCCAACCCACCACACAAAGGTGTTTGAGTCCACACTGCACATTAGCTCAGGAAACCAAACGCGCCAAAATAAAATTCATGCATTGAAATGCTTAAATTTGTTTGCTCTGGAAACTGGGTAAAGCAGCCAGCTTCCTGAGGCTGGAGGGAAAAATGCTGCACGACTGCAGGGCCAGCCCCTGCCTGGCTGAGCAGCAGCCAGCGAAGGGAGGCGTCACACGGGGACAGCCCAGACCGGCCCCACATGCACCACCACCCTGTCCCCTGTCCCCCTCCCACAGCCCAGAGCAGACCCAGGTCCTCCCTGCACAGAACAAATCAACCATCACCCCCATCCCCACAGCCATGCACATTAACCAGACATTCCCCTCCATCAGCCTTACAGAGCTCCACTTGATTTTTTTTTCCTCTCTTTTTCAAGTTAGGAAGAAAAAGAAAGAAAGGAAAAAAAAAATGTGTAAAAATTCAATTATTTTTTCCTGGCTGCAATCTAGGGCTCCGAAATTGAAGCCCAAGCATATATTTTTCTGTAGAAAATTGTCATTTACAAATAAAGAATTGGCGAAAGCCGACTTGTAACTAAAGGATTTTGCAGGGCTGTCAAGAGCCCTCTGCCTGCCAGCATCTGATTTAAGATCAGGCCAAGCTTCTGTTGTTATACAAAAGAGGGAGGAAAGCAATTATTCTAAAGCAGTATTTGAAATTATCATCATTTTTATATTTGACCAAGAAAGAAAGAAAAAGAGAGCTACTGCTTTTAGAAGCAAGATTGAAGGTTAAAGAAAAAAAAAAAAAGACCACTTTGTTTCAATAGCTTCAGTCAAAGAAAATATTGGTAATGACAAGCAAATTCACAACATTTTAATGCCTAGAGATGTGTTGCGAGCTGGGAAATGGTTTCAGAAATCAGCTCTTTGGTACCAAAGTGAAGCACAAAATTAAGTCTGCTTTTACAATCTACGTTTCCCTGAAGAGACAGTTCAATTGCTTTGTTACCACGTTCCCCCCAGCACAGGAACAGAAAATACGCAGCCTGAGCGATTCCTCTGATCCTGACGTGCCTCAAGAGGAGCCACTGCCTGGACACAGCCCCAGGATGGGAGCATACACGGGCAGCCTGGGGGCTCACGGCCAAGGGCTGGCAAACACGCCGGCCAAACAGGATGGGACATCCAAAAGACACAGGGAAAACATGTCATCACTCACTCCTGGGTCTTCATCCAGCAGGGACCCCTCCTGTGTCAGCCACTGGTCACCAGTAACCAAGATTTTCACAGCAGCACAGAATCACTGAGGTTGGAAAAGACCTCCCAGACCATCGAGTCCAACCTGTACCCCAGCCCCACCTCGTCCCCCAGCCCAGGGCACTGAGTGCCACAGCCAAGCCTTCCTTGGACATTGCTTGACTCCAGCACCTCTCTGGGCAGCCCCTTCCAAAGCCCAACCACCCTTTCCAGAAAGAAATTCTTCCTGATGCCCAACCTGAACCTCCCCTGGCACAGTTTTACACTGAAAATATGCTCTTTTAAAGCATCTCAAACACTGCCAGGACCAGGTACATGCAACACAAACGCTGGGAAAACCCATATTAACTAGAAAGGCCAAAAATCTCCCATTGCCAATGGCTGTGAGGGCAGCTTGTTCCTCACTGAGTACCCTCTGCAGGAAACAGGGCTCCAATAAAGCCTTCTGGTTCACCCCAGGGAGTGATGTTCTCACTACCCAACATGATATTCTCTCCACCACAGATCTGTGCTTGTTTTCAGGAGGAAAAACAAAGGGTTAAAGTACATTTAATGAAGTGCCCTTGGTGTAAACATTACAGATGACAGAGAGTCAGAGGCACCAATGATCACAGGCACTGGTAACTTTAGCTGCTCTCTAAAATTAAAGGCTTTTTAAAATCAAAACACTCATCTGGCTCAGCAAATAAATCAGCATATATTTAGCAAAAAAACCCTACAATTCTATAAAAGCATTTATGTATATATTGAAGAAAACCACTCATTATCATTATTTTCTTATTATTGTAACAAAAAGCCCCAAACCAAATTCCCAGTCTGAAGTTCCTCCAGTGGAAGTCACTGAGGATCTGGCTGGGTTCGGAGGGTTTGTGTACTGAAGGTGTCTCTCTCTCGCTGCGGAAGGAACGGCCAGGAGAGGCAGATGTGAGGCCCGTTAATTGTGAGCGCAGCAGAACTGCTGTTTGTATACGGCCTTAGTGGGGAGTTCATCAAAACACATGTGACTACTCCTGCCAGGAGGCATTCAAGGTTACACTCCATTTATTGCCTCGGCTTTGAAAAATATAATCGCCTTTGTGCTCTGAAACTGAGCAAACACTTCAGGTGCTGCAGGAGCAGGGAAAAACCTTCCGCGCTTTACCAGGCGAGTCTGCAGAGTTTATGCTGCTTTCGCAAGGTTAAGGCTGGAATTACATCAGTTTGGGATGTATCAGGTAACTCTCCTCTAACAACAGGCTGTAGATGCAGTCTCTGGGAACAAAAGTCCTGTCCCACTCGAACACATCAATACACATGAGTTAAACCCAACAAACCCCGGTGAAACAAAGGAATGGGGTTTTTCAGAGCCAGAGCCTCCAGCTCCGAATCCATGAACATCCCTCACACACCAACACTGCTCTTTGCCTTCCTGTGGTTTTCCTTTCCCCACTGAAACTGTCTTACTATCACTGCTATCAACAATGAACAAAGGGGATTTTAGGCTCATTAAATATTTTGCACAATTCCCAGAATTTCAAAATCTGAAGTAACAAGTACCCACTACTCTGTCTACATGAGTCAAGGCCCTGTCTATGTTTAACAAAGAAGTTGCATATTTGACTTCAGGGTAATGGTTTTAAGTGTCATTTCCCAACCATTCCTTATGCAGCCTTTTTTTGCTGTGTTCCCCCTCCCCAGTTTTATAGTGCAGAGCTCCTGCTCAGGAGGCAGGGATGGTGAGGCTGGAAAGGATGAGTGCTGACACCCAGATAGCACAGAGCGTGTGTTATCACAAAGTAAAATCCATTGACAATCCCAAAATCCATGTAAAATCCCAAAGCAGGAGGCAGAGACACAGGGTTAAAGCAAACCAACACAGAGGGCTCAAAGAGCACCCTGGAAACCTGTGCCTGAACTCAGCTCTAGCACACTCTGGTGAGGAATTCATCAAGACTTTGCATCCTCAATATTTCCCAATGTGGTGGAAGTGGACTAGAGTACTAATAGTGAACCTGCATCACAAATTGCTGAAATTAGCATTAATTTCAGATTAAACTAATTATGCATCTATAACTGTTTTCCAGAGCACTCTCCTCTCTCTCCTCTGACAGCGTGGGTGCGTGGGTGCATGCGTATTCCAGCCTGCTCACCTCATCTGCAGCTTGGCATTTCATCATTTCTAGTCTATCCACCTTCTAAATAGGTTTATAATTAGAAAAATCATCTTTCGTATCTGTGCTGAACTGCATTTTATACCCCATTGTGCTGTACATTCAAACTACAGCATTACTTCTAATTAAAACCAACAATAACTCATGTAACTGGGGAAGTGATCTTGTTAACTGAACTGCCAGGCTTCTTTGGCAGAGCACAAACCATAAGAACTCTCCAGGTTTGGGGTTTTTTTTTTTGCCTCTAGGATCCTCATAGGAAGTTCCAAAAAGCTATTAAAAACTCAGCTGAAATGTGAAGACATGATGAAGGTGGCAATGTTTAGTGGAACCTTCCAACCTTTCCCAGTCCACCTGTTAGGAGAACACCCCAGAACCACCCCCTTGCCCAGTATTTCTGTGAGGTTCCCAAGGGATGGACGTGCAGGTGAGCACCGTGTTCCAGCAGGGAGCAAACACTGCACTCCCAAGCTCCACAACAGCAAGAGCAACTCAATCCCGTGCAAAGGCAGCGCGGCTTTACGTGCCACGTACAGCACGCTTAAGGATTCAAAATAGGATTTCAGCAAGACTTAAACGGTGCAAATACCTTGTGCCTGACCCCTGTGTAAGCTCATGTCATCCTGTGAGAGCTGCTCCAGCTATAGAAGGTATGTGGGA